AGATATTAACTTACCCGTGAATATCTTTCACGGGACCGTACGTGTTACCCGCGGGTAAGGGAAGGCTGATTTTGAATGGGCAAGGTTGTGCATGGGCACTGGGTCATTACCCTAAAATTTCAGCCTCCTAGACTCAGTGGTTCCCGAGATATTTACTGACCCGTGAAAAACTTTCAGGGGGCCGTACGCGTTACCCGTAGGTACGGGGAAGCTGAATTTAAATTTGCGGGGTCACACGTAGGTGGAGAACGTTCTCCTAAATTTTCAGCTTCCAAGCTTTTGTGGTTACCGAGTTGAAAGTTGCGGACAAGCTGCTGCGGAAACACACACACACAGACAACCCCGTAACAATATGCGTTTTGTACTGCTGTTACACAGCACAAAACGCATAAAAAAAAGAGCACAATGAGCTCACAGCTCAGCTATTACCACTTGAGGAGGGTAAAGTTGAGTGAAATTAGAGCAAAATTTGGTAAAACAATGCAGAAAACTTCCAATTAAAGAATCGCACTGAAAAACAAAAAAAAAAAAAACAGGTCCGAAAACGATAAAATAAAGCTATATTTGAACAAGTAAGAGCAAGGATGAAAGACATTATTTTTTATTATGTTTTGCTTTAGCCGAAATTATACCTATTTTTGTCAGAGAGTCAAATTTGGAGCTGGCGACTATTTGTTTGAAGTGTGGCACATTACCAACGAATTGTCAACTTCAAAATTCATGAAAAAATTTTCGAAACTAAAAACAGAGAAAATGGAAATTCAAACCTTAGCTAAGGCTTTAGCTACGTGTTGGCCAAATTTCACTATCCCATAATTTGAAGGGAGCAGTTTGTCGAATGCTGCTTCGGGAACAATTTTCAGATTCTCGCGTTGCTGTACTGACTAAAACTGACAAATTCTTTTGCGTGAAAAAATTATTTCCTAAACCAGGAAAAATTTTGTCGTTGCTCAGCAGCCCTTGCGGCTCGACTGGGCCAGAAATGGAAAGCACATCAAAACTGAAGTTTAGAGCTTTTTCAATTTTTCAAAGTTGGAGAAATTACCGCCAAAATTTTCACACATCCGTCCATGAGACCTGAGCTTTTGTGGAAACTAAATTTGAATATCCAGGTGCAGATATGAAAAATCTCCACAAAACTTTAGCTTTCCATCTTGTATTTCCGGGGCTTGAAAACTAGCCATCAACTACCCACCCGAAATTCCACATGTCCGTACATGAGGAAATGAATCTGAAATGCTTGGAACGCACATGGACAAAGGAAATCCTCCTAAAACTTCACATTCCTAGTTTTTCTGGTTCCTGAATTGGTAATTTTCCAACCAAACCGTTTAAACGCGCGATGCAAACGCGCATGAAAGTTAATCCCAGGTTTCTGGTGTCGCATTTAACCAGAGAAATCACTGACAAAATTTCAACATCTAAACTTCCATAACTGCCAAAATGGAATACCCGAACAGGCGAACACACACGCATACACGCAAATAAACAAACATACACACATACACAAACCACGCTGGGCCGTTACATGTTTTTGCTTACTGTTACAGCGCCACAGCACCGCACCAAACAGAAACGCATAAAAATGTTTCCTATATGCTAGCTTTTTTTTCTCGGCCCCTAAAATTAGCTTCATTTGAATGACAACTTACTGGTAAATGTTCGAAAGCATAGACACTGTACTTCAAATCATAAGTACAATGAGGCTCTTCCGTGAACTTGTCCCCAGCTACGTTAAAATCAACATCGGACAGCAGCTCCATGCTGAAAACTTCATTACTGGAGGACACCAAATGACTTTAAACTCGAAATTAGGAAGCCTTTCCTAACAAAGACTAGAGAAAAAAAGTACTCACTACCGTCTACTCGACTGTAAAACAGTGATACGAATTTGACGTATGGACTTTTACATCTGCAAATATTATTTGTATGTACGAATTATCTTCCCAATCCTCCGTCCCCCATTTGTAATATCAAGGCTGTAAAATTCAAACCCCTGAGGTAAAGACGTCGCAAAACTTCGCCCTCACCCCTTCTCACTAATCACTTACGATCCTGACTCTAAAA